GCCATTCCAAAACAACCTTTCATTTCAGGCCAACTTGAAATAATTTTCCTTCTGAAAACATTGGGGACCAAACATAGAACTGAAAACAGAGTATCAGTGGAGTTTTATGGCTGAATTTCTATTCTGCAAAATGTTATTTATACTTCAGCTGTTCCCCATAAGACCAGGTGGAGCATCTTGTACTGCCATGTGTCACAGCTCATATACTAGTGAAGAGTCTGTATGCTATACCATGCTCCCCTCCCATCAGGCCATGAGCTGAGTAGAAATAATGAGCAAATTTCTTAGGGCAGTGCTGGGAGCTAAATGTAGATGTCCCAAAGGTGTTTCAGAAGTCAGAGGTGAGACATCAGGAGTGAGTATCAAACAACAGTAAGACTTGGAGCTCTATGAGACTTGACCATGTGTCAAGATTTGCCCATGGGCAGTGGTGGAATTTATGTACATCATAATTACTCTGCGCAGAAAGTGATGGGAGAGGGGATGATAGGGATGATATGTATTAATAGGTTTAAAAAGGTCTTAGTGGAAAAAAACACAGGCTTGTGAAACACAAATGTAACCTCAACACAGTGATACTGATCTCGATGGCCTTCTGGGCCTCTTTCCATCTGCTGTATTTCTGCCTCCTAAATCGGTCTCCCAAGAGCACAATAATTAAAAAAAAAAACCCTTTTCCTTCTCCAAAACTAGCCCTGGCATGGCTAAGTGAAAACCTTGTTGTTTGTATTAGGATTCCTCACTGTACTATGAAACAAGAAGAATATTGTTTCTTTTCTGGAGGGGCTTCTTGCTTGCATTGTCTAAATGCTTCCCTTAGATAACCTCTTGACTGGCAGTTAGCAATGGTTTTATTAATAGGACTTATTTCAGACTTAGTTATGTCTGACTTATCATGCACAGAGTTATGTGCTTGATTGAGATACTTCGGGTTTATAAAAAAATTTCCCTGAGATATGAAGCTGTGAATGACGTTAACAGCGCCAAGGGGTGCGTACATCCCTCCTGGTGTCTCTGGGACAAAACCAGCTTAATGCCATCGTTTAGGCAAAGAAGACAATAGCATTAAGGGACAGCTAATGCCACCAGTGACCAGGTGATGATTGCCTAAAGCCAAGTTTGCTAAAACAGCAGGAAAGCTGGCATAATGCTCCCTGTTTGTTATGGAAAGAACTTTAATTCAGACGTCTGGTGTCTTCAAAGAACACGCAGCACAGGCCACACATCTGGGCAGGAGACAAGAGGAAAGAGATTAGCAGTCAGCAGCTCTGGCTCTCGTATGGATTCGTACCAAATACCACCACTGTGAGCCTTGGTGCGGTGGATGCTCGGAACTCATAGGAATGTCCTTGGCTGTAAAACCTCAGTGGCCAACAGAAAAAACACCAGGGGAAACTCAATTCTTCTGAAGTGACAGTATATTTAAAACAAACAAACAAACAAAACCCCAAGGGAAATCATCCCAGTCTACTTCCAAGGAACTGGAGCATGTAAAGCCATATCTGGGAAAGTAAATTCACATTAAGCCTGTGAGTAGGTTTTGCAGACTCCAGCTTTGAGTGATGAGGGCTGTTCTGCTGATCAAGCTCAGTGACGTGTGGGGTGATGCTTGTGTGCAGCGGTGTAAGCACCTGGGGGCAGGAGTCAGTCTGGACATCAGAGATGCTTTCACTCCCTTGGATGCCCGTTGCGTTAGAGCAGCAGACGCAGAGCTGCTTCAGAGCATGGCTATGAGTCACGGTTTCTGGGTGCAACACATTGGGACACATTTGTCCACTGCTTGGCTTAGCCTGACACAATTTTTACAGCCTGTCCTCTGGATCCCTCCTGCCTGAGGTCTCTGGGGGAGTCTTCATGGACAACTCTACCCTTGCTCTTGGTACACAGACATGTCTTTGGTTTTGTGTGCTCCCACTGTTTTGAGGAAGAGGGGAGGGAAAAAAAACGCCCAGCTGTCTTCAGCCTAAACATAACCCAGAGTTCATTCCGTCCATGTGCAATGAAATGTTGTGGCTGGGGGAAAGATGAATT